ACTTTGTGCTTTTAAAAAGCAGTGTAATTGAAAGTATTAGAGAAATGTTGTTTTCCGCGGCATGCATGCCTCTAAACCGTAAAAGTACAGCAATACTGTCACTCAGTACTGTAAGAATTCTAAACACACAAAGACTGTTTCAAGAGCTTTGGGAATCTTAAATGTTTTTTACTGCTCTGCGTGATCAATATTAGTGCCAACTGTTCTGCCTGGGAAATTGTATAATTCAATTAGTTTCGTTCACCGGAAACAATAATTTGCTATAAATTTGAAAAAATATTTCTGAAATCCGTTTTTTATTTTTGTATAAATAGTTTTACCCGCTCCGGATCTTCAGACTTGGTACTACCTAACAGGTACTTTGGACTTTGAAAGGAATTAGATTCGGCAGTTCTGTGATTGGTCCTGTGCCATTAAGTGAAACTTTTTAAATTTGTTTGCTATTTCAAGCAATGTGAAATAGTCGCTCACTCTCTGAAAGCTCTCGTTGAAGTTCTGAGTACATCATTCAAAATTCAAAACCCCCTTTTTGTACTGCAAAAGATGCCACTGACGTACTTTGAACGCAGCTGTTCAGACTGTTGTAATGCATCTCTCCTCTTCCTTTTTTTAGATATTAATGTCTGACCTGAATGACGGAAGGCAGCAATTCCTCTGAAGTTCCTAGGTTTATTTTGAAAAAATTTCTGTAGTGATATAAAAGTTCGTTAGCTGCTAAAAATAGATTAAAATTCAGCCTTGTTTATTCTATTCTCCGTCCTGAAACTTAAACAGAAAGGCTGATTAGTTCCTTCATAAACTTGAAAAGACTATGCAAAATAATAGACGAAGTGAAGTTGCGATTTATACTGTTACACTATTTCTGTAAACTGCCTACCACCAGTTTCTGACCATCATTTTCTTCTGTTCATCATTAATTTTACAAGTAGCTCTGAGTTATTGTAGCAGCTGTCTTATACTAGCGCCTTTTTATCCCTCAGCACGTTCCTTCAACGGAAAAAGGCATTTAAATATCAAATATAACCGCTAAGAGCTTTAGCGACAAGTATGCGTCTTCTTTCCATGATGATATCATTACCCAATGCAAAAAATGCGGTACCTTTCGCAACTTCAGCAGAAAAACCCAAAGAGCAGTATATTCTTAGGCGACAAATTAACTTACCCTTAAATTATATTGCTGAAGTAATTTGTAATGTTTGTTGTAATTAAAAGGATTAAATTAGCGTAATTAAAGTAAACCTTATAATGTATAATTAAAGTAATATTTGTTATCTAATTTGAAATTAGCTAATAATTAGAAGTCCTTATCTTAAATTAAGATTCCCAGAACTGCTGACAGTCTTTCTTAATATAAACACCTAGATTGAACTTAACGATGAAGAAAAGAATTTACCTGCGCTCGCTGCCTGCCCACTGTGTTCGGTGATGTTGACTGTCCGTTGCGCAGCAGAGGCTGTGTTGTTGCCAGATGGTTAAGCGGCGCAGTTTCAGGTCCTCGAGTTTTCCCCTGCTGATCATAGGAAATTCGGATTTCGGAGTTAATCTGATATGTTTGTGGCTGAGGTCTCTTGTCTGGACCTACAGCCCCTGGAGATGGAGGTATTATAATATGCTGCGGTATCGTTATGCTACCTTGAGGGATGCCCATGTGCCATTCACCGGTTTGCTCAACAGGGGAAGCTCCTGGTAGAGGAAGGTTGTCTTGGGTGAGTGCTGTATTCAAGGAGCTTAAATAAGAGAGTTGTCAGGAATAAATAAAAGTGAGTCTCAAATTTTATTTAAAGCAAACATAGGATACAATAAAGGTTTAGTCCCTTTAATATTTCGTAGCTGACTACCAAAATCTTTTAGGGAACGGAATACAAGAAATGTGGTTCATTACCTCTTAGAGCCTCTCTCTTTATCAGTTTTTTTAACTCGCCGCGGCCCTCGTCTTCCTCTGTCGTAATTTTTATCCCTCTCGCTACTTCTGTGGCGCCTTCTGTGACCATCTCCAGAATCCTCTGTTACGTCGGTGCCATCGTCGCTGTACCGATGCCGGCTTCTTGATCTATGTCGATGGCGTCGCGGTTCCTCTGCAGTATAATTGTAAGGTAGTGAAAAACACTTGAAATTTTTCCCGACTATAAAAAGCTAATAGCTGGTCACAATTTTATGGCTTTTCTAAGGCGTATTTACTCATAAGCTTTTCCTGTGAAAAAATTTTGACCAACTTTCACGAGGGTATGGAAAACCTTTCAAGGAAACTTTATGACTTAAAAAAAAAACCTGAAAACCCGGATGAACTCGACGTTGAGCTGTAAGATCGCCGAGATCTTGAACCAACTGAAGCTGACCGATGACGGTGCCTACTGCTGTGCCGGTGTGAGCTTCGTTTATCTCTATCTCTGCTTCGGTGTCTTGAGGATGACCTGAAACGTACGACGTGAAAGATCTATGTTTTGGTTCACCACTCTGTATTGAGACTTTCTTTGACAGTCACATGTGGATTAATTTAGTGTATGAAGTTTAGTTACTTGTGACGATGATGATGGAATTTGCGGCAGTGATGAAGGCATGTAGTGGCTCCTGAGCTTTCAGCATACATGGAAGGAACCGATAAAGAGTGCTGTAAAACATTGCCTTAAAAAACCTAATTCAGATATGTTAATTTGATAAAATATGCTTTTCTTTATTGAAATAAATCATTTTATACCTGTAAAAGTGGGTATGGCTCTTTAGTCGGCGAGGCTGGTTCACTGTTTGCATGGTCTTCTGGACCTGAAAAGAATTAGTTGAGTAAAATCTAACTTGAACTTCTTCGCAGTCTTTCCAGCTACTAGAAACACCAAACGTCATAACCCATATTTTCTCTTAATGTTATTTATCCGCCATGGTACCTAGCAGTTGCTGTTCTCTGACCCAGTTGCTGACCATATCATCTTCTCTTTCAAAATCAAAGCGATTACGGTATGGTGATGGAGGCCTAATTGGTTGCTCAAACTGCGCGGGTCGTGGAGGCCCGTGATACCGGTCGAATGGCATTGGTTCATGATCAAAGTACTCGGGAGCTCGATCAGGTAACCTGTTATATTCATCGCGTAACGGCGGCGTACCGAACGTTTTTCCAGGTTTCAGCGGATAATCTAGCTCTGCAACATTAAACAGCTGTAACTTTGCAAATTTTAATCGTGCTTCCCCATAAACTTTCTTCATAAAAGATCAATTATAACCTGATAGTCGGTTAAAGGGATTGTAATTATCCTTTTGGTACCCGTCGTATCTACCTGCATAATTTTCAAAATCTACGGGTCTATTCTTTTCGTCATAGTACTCCCTCATTGTACTTAGTTGTTTTGAAAACATTATGACCACAACCAGACAGTACAGCTGAAATTTTACAAGAACTGAATTTTTCTTTTTCATATCCCACTGAATTTCACGATCAACCATTGACTCGGCTTACGTTAATGAAAACTCCAATCATTTCCAGAATGGTCAGTACTAGCCAGTAGTCTCGTACATCGCCAGTCCACCAAATGATACAGTAAGTTAACGAACACAGTATGTTGGCAATCATACAGGGGAACCATGGGTAAATCAAGTATCTCGAGAACTAAAAAATAAACATTTTTCTATGAATTTATAGTCTGAATAACTAAGTCAAAAAAAACTGAAGAAATTTTGAAGAACATTGTTAACAAGGAATTATTCAGATTTATTTGTTCAAAATTTTCACTTAATATATGTAATATAAAGTTCGATTCGGAGTGTAAGATTACCGTATGTGCACCATAAATAAGCGCAATAGAGGCGAAGAATAGGAAGAAAGAGACGATAAGACACAGAATTTGAATAACAAATAACGCTGAAATTTAATAGCCATTATTTCTTTTCAAAGTCTTACACTGTTAATTTTCTGTTATAATTAGTGGCTGTCGGTTTTTTAATTGTTAAGATATCAAGTTTTACTGCAGTTCTTACCAGATATCCCTTTTGGGCTTCATTGTCTCAGTGTCATTACACAGGAGCATCTCGAGGAACGACTATTTATATATGAAAAATTTTGGTCAACACTTTGTTAGTTGTTACTAAAAAAATCGGTTTTGGTCGTCTACGGTGTTAACTAGTTAAATCTCTGCTGTTCGTACTATGCAACCAATGTTTACTTTTTTGCCACGTTCGCGCACAACGCCTTTCTGTATTGCTTTTGTTTTCTTCTATCCGTCGACCAACAAAAAATTTCTTCACACTCCAACAGTTGCTTGTCCTTACTACTTTGGTTAACCTTCCTCAGAAAGTTAAAGTCTATCTATTGTTTCTTCAGGCTGATCCCTACTGTAAACTGAGTACATCAAAATGACATTTCTTACTTCTCTTCGTTTAATAAAATGAGCAACTCTTTATTCGACAAATTTATAATCTTTTTGTGTCTGTTAACCAGGTTAATAAAATAAAGTAAATAATTTAAGATTTAAATAATAGCCCAACCAATATAAAATCGTTCTTCTGGACTCTGGTAGTAACTTTCATAGAAAGACGGTACATCGAATTTCCCATATTCATAATAATTTGGTAATATTGTATCTCTAGCCCGATCTTTCTCGTACTTTATTGCGACCATTTGCCAGCCAAAAATGGCGAGTTGAATTAAGCAAAATATCTGAAGTTAAACAAAATTATTAACAAAACTGTCCTTCCCAGGCTTTTCCCTTCTTTCTTTCGCACAAAATAATTTCATACCTTCCCTCACCTTTTTTGGCTGGCAACTGGCTCTTTATCAACTTTTTCCAAACAAGTGCTCAAGCAATACAGAAAAGTAGTTGGAAGCAAGCGGTATGACATGAAGTATACATTGTAATTACTCCTCTTATCCCAAGAAAACAAACGGGCAGTCGCTTAATTAAACCTAGATGGTTCTCTGCATAAAATCTGGCTTAAAAATGGAAGAGTCAGCTCGAAACGAACCCGTATAAAACTTTGTAGCTGGAGTCTCATAAAAATTCTCGAAGTATGATGGACCACTGAAATCGTGGTAGGTTTGTGGCGCAGGAATCTGATAACTTGCTGCATGATCTCTCTCCCACTTTATTGCATAGCACTGCCAACCGAATATGACCAACTCCGTTATACTAAAAACCTGCAAGCCTTTTCCGTTCAAGTCATAAATTTATTCAAAACAGTTTTTTGGAGGGCAAATTCCTTGCAAGTACTGTATGTTATCATCCTTTCGTTCAAATATCAAAACAAATTTTTTCTGCTTTAAATTCAGCAAAGCTTCTGTGCATTCGTTTGGTCATATCCGGCTGACAATCCACATCTTATAAAAAGAAATTAACAACAAGAAAAAAACTGCTGCGACAGCTCGCGAGAAACTGTTTGTTATTGAATGCTTCAAAGCCTAATAAGTGTACACTGCACCTAAGGATTCTGTTATAAATAGAAGCAAAAGCACAAGATTTGTTGAACTAATCTGTACCCTCAATTAGGGAGCTCGTACGTGCTGTAGATGCCCCAACGCACGGACAGTAATACTCGCATTGAAGATTTGCTTGAGCCATTGTTACAGAACGACAGTTGTTTAGCACAGCGAATTGCCAGCCAAATAAAACTAACGATGCGAATGCATAGACCTTAAAAAAAATGGAACAAAAATTTAGACTTTCGAAATGCGATGCTTCTTAACATCTTGCAACTGGATAAATCGGCTAAATTCGGCATTGAAAGAAGGATGAAAAGTAGCAATAACGAGAAATCTATTGCATATTTAGCCACTAAAGTATACCGGTCAAAAGTGCTTTTCGTTTCTGCTTTATCTACAAAACTACAAAACCTGGGAAAATGCGGTAGAAGAAAACACATAAAAATATCGTGAACTCAGTGTTAAGGCTAACCGCGCTCCAAATTCCAATGGTTACTGCACCATCCCTGATGCTCCAGCAACAGCACGGGTTGCAACCCATCGCTGCCTGTGACTAGTTAGAAGACGATACACAGATGGATTAATGTGTAGCTCGTAAAATAGGAATTTCCAACATAAAAGGTTACTTCACAGTTTTATAATAAAGAATGAATCGACGTAGCATTTCAGAGTAGTCGCTGAAAAAACTTTAAGATAGCCAGAAATAAAAAAAAACACATGGGTTTTTTAATGCTCATCGTATCATATTTATTCCTTGTATCCTTCATTTGAAAGTCGTCGTATAACGAAGATAATGTGTTACAGGAGGGAAGTAATAGTGGAAAATGGAAAAATGATGAATCAATAAGACGCTAAACGAAATTAAAAATGCGTTTAGGAAATACGCCGAATTCGATTTTATTCTGTTGAATCAGCGCTAACTTCGGCAATCACCGATTTCTTCACCTAACCACCAATCAAACACTTACCGCCGGTTCAGAAATATTTAAACTTTAGGAAACCTTAAACTATCAAGTTTTTTGGCCTAAAGACTTCCTTTTAAAGCAAAAATCTATTAAAAAATTTTCCAACAATTTTTACTTTTCCTTTAAAATCCATTTGCTATTTACTCAATAAATTTCCCAATGAATGTTAGCATAGTAATGATACAAAATATAAGGCGACTAAAAGTCACGGACAATGTATTTCACATATTTCGTCAGTTTAAACCCAACAACCTTTGTTGGTACAATAATCAAAACAACATTTGCAAAGGAAATTTTAGCTTTTTGAAAGAAAAAACAAAGTCGTAATCGTACAGTTGCAAAGTTAAAAAAAAAAAAGTTGACCCTAAAATAATCTGTCAACAAAACAGTGGCGTAACAATAACCAAAAACGTTTGTAAACAAACCATAAATAAAAGTCTGTTGCTGTAGTCTGATGTGTTTATGCCCACTCAAAAACCGTTGGTCAAAATATTTGTGTAAATTAAAACTTGTAAGTTTTCTACAAAAAACTGAAGCATGTTCGGTGGTCGGATATCCATCATCTTTTTTTTTTAAACAAAATTTATGTTTGTTAGTCAGTATGCATTTGGATAATGCCAGAAGTAGAACAGAACGATGATCGATGAAAAAATGATGAAAGCGATCAAAGTTTTCTGTGTAAGACATTCCTAATAAGAAGCATTACAATTGACGACAGTACAGACGTTGTCCTCTACAGTTGCGGGTCGTAGACTACTGTAGAAATCGATAGCGTTGCAGCAGATCATCTTGTTTTACCAGTTTCACACGTCTATGAAGGGCTTCAGGCAGAACAATTACTCTTCTGTCAAACTTTGATTAAGGGTCAACAAAAAAGAATGCTGACATATATGTATACGTTATATTATGCGCCCATTTTATAAGCTCCGAAACGAATTTTTCAAATAGAGCATAGAAAACGCAACATCACGTTGCTGTGATTCTTCAGCATAACAGTTCCTTTCGTCAACCCATTTTACCAACGTTTGCATAATTTGAATAAACAACATTTCTTTTTGACAACAAAAACTTTAGAGAATTCCCACTCACCTCTAAAGGAAAACTTAAGATTATTGTGCTGCCTTCATATTACTTCCGTTTAAAATAACTAATGCTAGTTCAGGTATTAAGTCAGAACTGTCAATCGATTCCTGTCCCGTTAAGCCAAAATGCATCACATTTTCAAACATTTTCTTTCAACAAATCTTCCAGCACATCAAAATTCTTTTTTTTTTTTTTTCAAAGCAGATTGTTCATTTACAATTAATAAAGTTGAAAAAAAAAAAAGAAAAGATCTTTTTTTTTTTTATCTAATTGAAGTGAAGTATTTTTTGCTTTAAGAATCATATTGATAAAACTCATAATTCTGGTTTTTTTCTTCTTTCGTCTCAGACTTAAACAAACAACAGTAGGTCAAAACTCTGATACATCAATCCACCACGTAATCTAAAATGTGGTTTAAAACCGACATACCAAATAACAGCATATCAGTGATAACGTTAAATACTTACAATATATATATATATATATATATATATATATATATATAGTTTATATATATATATATATATATATATATATATATATATATTATATATATATATATATATATATATATATATATATATATAGGTGCTGTGCTTAAGAGTGCGTATTTTTGTTTGTGGTCGTCCTCTATATATTAAATATATAGCAAAAAATAGGGCACAATACGAGCCAGAAGCAATACGTGCTAAAAAAGATCAAAAAAAAAAACATGTTCCAAAAAGAAAAAAAAAAACAAAAAATGAAATTCATTGTTAAGCGTAATAACAGTTACAGGTCAAAGCTAAATTCAAAAAGCTGCATAGCAAATTCTCCTTTCTAAAACCTTTGGACTAACTGTAAACGTCTTAGACTATTTAAGACGTTGACTGATCACTTTTATAATTCGCGAACCCCTGCTGACTGACTCATAAAACATGACTAACGTGAAACAGCCAAAAAAGCGGTAAGAACGTAGGCTGAAGCCATCCCTTTTCATAGATGAAAAAAAAATGCTAAAGTTATGAATCAAACCATGATGCATAATAAAAAAAAATTCTATGATTGTGACTGCACGAATTACTGGTTATTGCAGATGCCAACAACACAGTCATCTTTTCTATTTATAGACAATAATTAATTATAAGTATAATTTGAAAAAAAGATGAAGACATTGAATTAACTGTAAATCATTTCCTAAATTAACGGTTTATGTGCTAAATTTACATGATAATGTGAGAAGTATTATATGTGCAGTAGAGAATCACCGGACTGTTGTTAAGAATATTAACTGTCCGCCTAAACTAAAACAGAAAAACAAAAGTGAGAATTTATGCTACATAAAAGTGAGAGAAAACCACAAATCTGTAAAAAAAAACAGTTCCGATAAAGCTGCTAAACTGCGCACAGCACACTTTTGCGCACAGCACACATAAATTGCGCACAGCACACTTTTCCGAAATTTCAAGAGAGCAGCAAAATTCAGGAACAGTTTTCCTAATTGGCGCTTATCAACAGAGTAGGCTGCAACTAGAAGTTATAAACGAATTGCAGACTAGTAGTCTACCTGACCTACTGTGCTGGACAAGTGTCAGTGCAGACAAGTACTGATGTTGAGCGCACAACAGCGATAATCTTTTCTATTCTTCATCGCAATACTACAGCTAACAAGGGAGCTCTGTAATGTCACAGTAAAGAGAAGACCGTGGAAGATAGTAGACTGAGAGAGCAGGATAGGGGTGACGGGAGGGAGAGTGGAGGGAGGACGGACAGAAGAGCGTAGGTTAAAAATAGTGCTAAGAATTTGCCAGTGACACGCATAGTAAACCCGAGGTAATGGGCACGCTCCAAAGGCAAACAGAAAATTTTTCGGTCTCTCAGTCAGCGCAAACACGGACACTTCTTCGTATCTACACACATACACAAACAGAGACAGACACACTATATGGAACATCAACAATTTGTAAAAGCCATTTCAACTATATAATATTTTCAACACAAACGCCTCCTTATTATAATACCATGATGTCTTGCTGATGGTCGCAAAAATATCGGAATTCTGAATCATCTATACAAAACCCAAGCAATAAAGTCAAGGTTTATCAGTATCATCGCTAACATTGTCACTACTACTGCTGATACTGACAATAACGCCAGTGCTCAGTGGTTTCTCTATCATAAAGCATTAACAGTCTCATAGTTTTATGAAAAATGTGTAGAAAAAAAATTCTGACTTTGGTAGCCATACTATAAGCAATCACCCTCGTAGTACATCTTCACCGCTTCTTCTTTTGAGGGCCGTGGAACTGGCTGTTAACAAACGAGCTTTATCAACAAAGCAAATAGTGTTACATGCTAGCTTTAGTCTATACAAATCGTTTGCTGTTTAGACAACTATACAGTTCTATTCGTTATGATACTTGATCGCAGAAGGAATACCCCGTTGAGTGACCAACTTTTGAATGAAAACAACATAAATTTTAGAAGAAATTTTTTCGAGTGCGATATAACCAGCATTCAATTTCAGAAGTTCATACAGTTTTGAAAATCAGTCAAAGAGCAAAAAAGAAAATTGTTAATTTGTTTGAGTAGGCGTTATGCACATTCCAAATAACACTGATAAAAGTTTTTTTGGCGTTTGTCGAAAATATGCTGTACATATAATGATCAACATCAGTCGACTACCATTTTTTACGTCACGTTAGCAGCATATAATTCTAATTGCTATCATCACGAGCTTTTGAACAATCAAACACCATAGCGTCAGGCGAAACAATTTTTGCTTCTTTATTGTACATTTTTTGTTTCTCATAAAACTGCACAAATCGTACAAATTATAAATAATAATAATTTTTTACCAGTTATAACATTAATAACTACCGTACATTTCGCTGTAAAAAAATTCTCCGTCTCAGAAGCAAGTAAAAAATTGAGCACTTTCTAAACAAAAAGCTACCGAACCTAATAAAACTCGTATTTTTTTCTAGCATTTATTCGTTATTTTTTCGACTTACCAAAAAGCAATCAGGCACACAAGTATAATAAAAATCTTAATGAATACTATCAGATACTATCAGATCCTTGAAGAAGAGCAAAAGACAATATATACAAACTCAAAGGGATGTACAGATGTACTCCTTTGAATAAAAAAAAAATTTTGATAAACACCGCTTGCCAATTGGAGTAAAATTGAAAAGTGCCTTAAAGGCCATGGTGTTATCAAAAGACTGTTCATCAGATCAACCACTAATTCTACCCAAATTATGTACTGGTCAGTTAAACAGTAGTTGCCAATTGTGAGGCAGTACTGCGGTAGGAATGGACGCCGTGTTTGCTGTCATGCTTTCAACAGAAGAACAACAATGCTACTAGTGTCCATCGCAAGAGTATGAGTTTTCGATCAATGCTATGCATGATGGTTAATGGCCGATGGAAGAAACAGCCACCAAAGTGAATTGTCGAAATACACCTGTTAAATGGAAAATATTTAAGATTCCACTACTGAAAAGTGTATACGACGCAAACGGACGATGCAAACCAATTATAATTCCTTTTAAGGAAAGAAAACCAACTGAAGACTTTTCTTCAATAGATTTACAAAAAAACATTATTAACTTGAGCAAATTTATTTGATCAGTGAACTCAGAGTGTATACATTAGTTAAGCAGTCTCCTAAGCTACCAAAATACGAACTGAGATCAGTGACCTCCAAAAAGTTACTCAGGTTCGCTATCCTGTTTTGTTGCACTTATTCGTCACGCATTCTTGGTACAGTTGTACAATTGAAAATAAATTCTAAGATCTTTAGAAAATGTTACCAATATGTCTGGTATTAAAAAAAAAAAGTGAAAAAAGATGCCTAAAGTCTAGAGACAATTCAGACAATTCATCTGTTTGCTAGAAATAAACTGGTTTTCAACTCAGCTAACTTTCGTAAATCATCATTCCATTGTTGACGACCAAAAAATAGATGTACATATAACAAAACACTAGCAAAATATCATTTTAAGTATCACAATATATAAATCACCATTGGTTAGTGATTTGAGACAAGTAATGAAAAAATAGAAAGATATAAGTTGTACAAGTTTCCAATCTTATCAAACTTATCCACTTTGTTTTACGATGAAATACCGCAATATAAACACTATTTATAATCATCGGTAAGCGTAAAAGAAATAAAAAAAAGTGCTTAATAATCAAGGTGGTACCTATAAGAAATTGTAAACATAGCACTCTAAAGACAATACTTCAGCATTAATCAAACGGTACTGTGGTCTGTGACAACAACTACAGCCAGTGAACAGTTTCAGCATCAAAAATTACCTGGTTAGGCATGATTACGACTACAAGCGAATCAAAATAAAGTTATGAATGAATCAAAATGTAGATGTAAAATTTTAGAACAGTTATAAGCATAACTGCTCAACATATTTATTATACCAAAAGCATTCGTTGTTTACAATTTGTTAGAATTCGAAAAAAAAAAAAAAATTATAAAAGGAAACGAGAATTAGTGAATACAAAATTCTAGAAAGAGAATATAAACGTTTGATTTTCAAAAAGTTTCGAAAAAATTGAAAAAATTATTATTCTTTAACAGTCAGAAAAAAAACAACAAAAAGCACTGACTCATATCGATTACTTTCAGATTGTTCTACGGTGCTAAAAATGCACTTAACAACAAACAGTATTACGGATGAAATAATCGTCGATTCCTTCTAATGGGAAAGAAATTTTAGTCCTCCGGCTGCATTTGGCTTAATTTTTATAACACCAACAGCGATAACTGTTTTCAAATAGTTTATATTTGAGCTTGACGTATCAGTATTATAATAAACAATATAAATAACTGAAAAATCTATTGATTTCTGTTAAAAAAAGGAAAAACAATCATTATTTCTTAACCAAAAAAAAAAACACTAGGGAACTTTTATTAACATTTGAAAACGTAAGAAAAATCTGAGCTAAAACAAACTAAAAATAGGCACGTTTTTGAGTAGCGAACAGCGGCTGATCAATGACAGTTGTAATTGTATTCACTAATAATTGGTTTACCAAAGTAATCCAAACCTCAAAAATTTGTTTGCTTTCCGTCTGCCATCATAACAGATGACCATCTCGACAGGTGCCCACACGGATTATACCTCTCACCCACTGTGTATAAAATAAGACAATAATTGTTATCAAACTGTTGAATTTTTTTTTTTCTGATGTCGAAAAAATGATACGCCAAAAGAGTTTTGGGATTTAGTTTTGCTGCATACTACTGAAATAAAGCGATTCTGGCAACTGCTTTCAAAATCCACAAAATTAACATTCAACATTCCCAATTATTGTTGAGGCTAGAAAAAAAGCCAACAATTTTAAACAAAAATGCATAAAATATCTGTGCAAGAAATACCTGTTAGTGTTTAACGTGCTTTTAACATAGCTTAGCTTTTTGGCCACGAACATGATCGAAAACGTAAAGCTGTATGAATCATCCAAACAGCAAAAGCAAATGAGCAACCTGTTTGGCTCTAAAGCTGACAGTGTTTGTTTACTTTTCTATTATACTATGTCATATAGTGTTCAAAAGTAAATATTTAATGTTACAATGCTTTATTAAAATTAAAAACCCAGCTTTTTCCAACAATACAGAGGAACTAAAGTTTTTCAGCTTTCAACCATTTACGGTTAAAAAAGAAAGAAAAAATAAAGGATTATAACTCAAGCTGAAAACCTTCTTTTAACAAAAATATGGAAACAGCACTAACTTCAAAAGGTTGTTAAGTTAACATCAAACAAATTGGCACCTAAAACAAACGTTACTTCGTTCGTTTAAAGATCTCATAATTCTGAAAAATTTTCTAAAGTGCCAACAAAAACATGCTGCACTTAGTTGACAGAGACAAAATTTCTAAAATCTACTAATGAATGGCAAAAAAGGTAAAGCTACAAACTGAAGCCTATCAACTCTCGGACATCCTTCATAGTTTTTTGAGCGACTTGTTGCGCCTTTTCCGCGCCGTCTTTTAGAATTTCAACAATAGTCCCTTGGTCTCCCATCAAGGCATCGTACTTTTCTCGAATTGGAGATAGCTTTCTATTCAAATCTGTAGCCAGCTTAAATTTAAAATCTTTTGTGTCCAAACCACTGCATTCTTTCACCGCCTCTTCCGGGCTTTTACCATTAACTGCGCAGTAAAGAGATACCTAAAAGAATTGCGACACATGCTAATCAACTAAAAATCAAGAGACTTATCTAGATAAGATCCATCAGTCAAATAAATAATCAAAGAAACAAAAATTCTGGAAAAATTACAAGATTTGAAATAGCAGGTCTTTTTTCTGGCTCGTAAGTTATATCAGGCTGAAAGTCACTCAAGGCTTTTGAACACTTTTCATAAATAGACTCTTCCGAATCATTTATATCGATTCGTGATCTTCCCGATGGGTCTGATTTGCTCATTTTCTTGCCAGGGTCCCGTAAACTTTTTATCTTTACACTTTCTGCAGTCACCTTCAGATAAATAAATTTATAAAACTTTTATTGCTATCCGAAAATAAAGCTGAAAAAACACTAAAATTTGCCTGTTCCGGAACAGGAAAATAATCAGTGTTAAAGACTGTATTAAAATGAGCAGCAAGGTTTCTTGAAAGCCGAAGATGCTGTGTTTGATCCTCGCCAACAGGTACATGAGTGCTCTTGTAAAGAAGGATATCTGCAGTCTGAAGCACCGGATAAATGAGTAAGTTTATAGGCACACTTCCCGCCTTGAACCTAAATAAACCTAAATATACTCAACTGAAAGAAATTAATTATCAAATAGTCTATTGGCAATATCAAATTTTATTTGCCTCATCAATCAAACTCCTCTTGTCTTGAAATCAGTCACCAGCATCGAGCTTAACGCGCAAAAAAAAAAAAAAAAAAAAA